GATTAGATGAATTCAAAAGGAAAGTTGTAGGTTAGCCCAAATAACTCTAAGATTTTTACCAAATAAGTTCTTTTGCATGGAACAATGCTAAGGTTATTGGATTATTTATCAAAAAGAAGAATAACCAAGGCTATAGGTAGGAATGTCAACTGGACCAGATTTGGTCCAATTCAATCCGGTCCAATATGAGTCCAATATAGATGGACCAAGTCCAATCCAATTTGATGAATACTCTGGATCATTTTGGACCAGTCCAATTCAATGTCTATGTTGTTCAATTTGTTGATTTTAATTTAGATGGGTTCCAATAATCCCGGTCCATTGTATCTTTATCTTCTACCAATGGGCTGGATATTGGTTCAATCTAATTCAATCCAATATAAATCCATCACGAATGGACCAGGTCCAATCCAATCCAATCCAGCACTTGTATCTGTACATTGGGAACATCTTCACATGAATGAAAACACTTAAGTATGGAAGATATTGGTGATGTGCAGCTACAACATACTCTAAGCAATGATCAAAATATCAGTATCGAGCATCGTATTAAACAACTCGAATGTGAATATGCTTTGAAAACACGTGGATACAAATTCAAATATGAAAATGATTGGATACATTAGGGAAACCAATACAAATTTCATAAATACATTAATAATTCCAAATTTAAGGTCAAAATAACCAGATAATATATAAATACATATGAAATATATATATTTTAATAATATATATGAAGAAATATACTTCAATTAACAAAACAAGATGTATAAATATGGTACATTTTTCAATAATGCATCAATTTTACAAATCAACACATTTATAAAGCCATTATAAGTCAGACACAAGACGTGCAACTATCACATCTTAATTATTATATGAGTAAATTACAAAGACCCCCTGTATTTTGTTTTGCAACAACCCCCCTATACTATGACCGTGAGACAAAGATCCCCTTCCGTTAGCCTTTCGTCCAAAACAATGAGAAATATATCGTTACAATATTTTTTTAATCTCCATACTATACTTATAATAAATATTTAAACAGTTTTAACTCTTTTTTCGTGTTTTATACGTTTTCTCACCTTATTTCTCCCTTACAATCAAAGGATTTGTCCTTCGTGACCAAGCCCAGAGTGCGTTATAATTAATACTGTTGAGTGTGTTATAATTAATTATAAGCTGCACTATAACGCTAATTGTAAGCTGCACTCGGATCTGGAATGGCCTGTTTTACTCGTCAGAACAGTGTTGGATTAAGCACTTTGATCTCAACATGATCTCATCCTGTAAGCTTTTGCTTTTGAGCTTTGGGCTTGTGAATAGCAAAATTGAGCCAAAAGCAAAACACAAATTGCTTTGTGCTTTTGGGCTTTGAATGCACCTCACCCTTTATGGTCAAACAGTCTCCAAGCTTGAACCCAGGAGTAACCGGAAATCCCACGATCCAATGACGCGGCACCCACGAGCCGGAAAACTCGATGACACTCTCCATGTACAGAGGATGAAATTCAGCTCCTCTAGTTGCCTGAAAATGGCATGGAGTCAGCTCGAACGCAAAGGCCAGCAAGTGAAGCAACCAAACCGCCTTGGCCATTGCCAAGAACTCTTCGTAAAACTCACTCCTCGGGTGGTTGCCCGTCGAAATCACTCGACGCTGCTCAAAATGTCCGAATAGAGACTCCTCCATCTTGGGGTGAACGAGAGAGAGGAACTTCATAGAGCAAAATTTGCCAAAGCCACAAGTGGGAAATATGCTTAGGAGCTCAACCGGGTCCGTGGCCTTCATATCTCGGAACTGATCCAAATAGTTTCGATGGAACAGGTCGGGGTGGAGAAATGAAGGGACGTTGTTGTACATGTAGAAATGAATCGAGGCCGTTTCTGGATGGCAATGCAGCCGCCGGCAGTGTAGCTGACTCTTCGTCGCGTCTGGTTGGAGATACGATAGATGCTGAATGATGGGTCTGATCCTTTTCCGCCATTAGAAAGTTAGTTCTAGCTAGTGGGTGTGCCTGAGCTAATATAGGAGCTTCTTTGTTTTCTTTTTTCAGATATGGGAAGGAAATAGGGGAACACTACTGGGAATGGGTTGCAGATAATGGAACAATTCTATCGATGGGAAGGAAATAAGGGATCAGTTCAGTCTCGGCGGAACCTAGGAAATGAAGGGAAATAAGGGAAAAATACGGGGTGGAGAAATCAATCCATGCATGAAGAAAGGTTGAGTTTGGACAAGGTTTGAAGATCGACAGGACCAGATATCAATTTGCTAGGTTAAATAGGTTTTGAGAGAAAAAGGACAAGAAAAAAAAAATAGAAAAAGTTTAGTAAGATATTTTGGTAATTTAATGCCTTTCGTCATTTGACTTAAAGAAAGTATACGGGGGGGCCTTTGTCACATACCCCATTACCCTTATTATATCAATTATTTTATATTTTATTATTTTTACTTTCTAACATTAACAAAAAACAATTAAATATTAAATTCTCAAATGTTTGTTAAACAATATTTTTATTTTTGTAAACAATAAATATGGTATTATAAAATGTAAATTAAAATATTAATTAATAATTTATAAAAAATATAATATTAGCTTAAAATATATTAAATCTATTAAAAATTCTAAAATACATATCATATGCAAATTCATAATTTTTTAATTAATAGAATAATTATTATATTATTAATATTTTAATTTCTATAATTTTTTGAAAGGAAAACAAATACTAAAATACAAGGTTTTGCACTCTACATATTTGTATTTGCATTCCTTCCAAACTGAGCTATAGGGGTAAATTCAAACTCTCCATTAGCTCTTTGGATGGTTTGATTGTCAATAGGTAACACCATCCAACTATGGCAGCCAATTTTTCACTTGTAGGTCCCTCGCGAAGAGATAAAATAGTTGATGAGCCCATTGCAAGTTGCCAAGCATATGAGAAAAATGAAAAAAGAATATAAAAATGAAATTTTATTGGCAAATGCTTTTATCGTTATATAGAAGCACCATTAGTTTAAATTTTTTTAACCCCAAAATTTATTGTAGGTGGAGGGGCAGCCACCTTAAATTTTATTAACCATTATCAAAAATAAAAATAGCTATTATTGGGGAGGAGTTAGCCTGCCTTGTCCCAAGCCCAAGATACAAATCTCTCAACCTTACCCTTTCAGCTCAACCCACACTAAAAGCCATAAATAGATTATCTAATTCTTAAATTGGATAAACCTATAAAATCGTCAAATATTAACTTTCTTACTTGATCTGGGATATGTGAGAGAGCATTGAAGCTAATGAATCCTTCCAACATCCCACCCATTTTAGCCAAATAGTCTAATGGTCTATTAGCTTTACAATACGCATGCTTTATTGAGTAGTTGTAGGAGTCAAGGAGCCTTTTGATTTCAACTACACAGTAATGGATACTCCATGAAATAGTCGAAGAGGCTTGCCACTGTAGAGTTATCACATTCAACCTTGATATTAAGACAACTGTGCTGAATACATATATTATTTTCATCTCGAAGAGCTTTAATTTTCACATGAAGAGAGGTACAAATACCATAAGGACTTGAGAAAACTTTAAGAAACCCACCCTCATCATCACGAATCAAGCCTCCCCCACTTCCTACACCCAGGTTTCCTCGATAAGCACCATCAGTATTTAGTTTTACCTTGCCACATTACCCATTTATATAGCCTTGATTTGGTGGGCTTGGGCGGAATTGGAAAATCAAACCTCCACCAATCATTTGCATCCTCGAAAGTGGGTAATAAAGTAAATTTATCAATTTCAACAAGCTAATTTATGATGTATTGGATTACTTGGCTTGTGGGGATGGACTTCCATCATAGATTCTTCTACACCTTTCCACCAACTTCCCTTAGTAGCACCGGGCAACACCCTAAGAACCTGGCTACGATGGGAGTTATCATTGCAAGTGCTCCACTGTTACTTTAGGTTTAAATCTGCTCCCAAACAAACACTTCCAACATTATCCCAATAAGCCGTTATAGTTGCGGGTCAAGAACACCTCCCCATGAATGACAAGAGAGATGTTCCAAATGTACAAACTACAATGGCATGTTGGGTGAGTGTTGGAACCACTTAGATAGCGGATGCGTACCCTATTAATTCTATATGGTAAAGATAAAGAGAGCAAACTTTAACAACTCCCTTGAAACAAGAGGTTGAGGTGTTTCTTATACCATATAGAATGAATAGTGCTCCTATAGGCTAGGATGATCCTTAAATTAGCAAGGTTTTAATTGGTTGGTTGGTAATTGTAGTGCAGATTAGGGATCGAATGTCGCCTGCACAAGGTTGGGGTCATGGGTTTGGGGGATGGGCTATTCCTTGTGTAGTCATATAGAGTAAAAAAACAAACCTTTCAATTCCAATAAGGCTCGTTTGGTTCGCAGGGGTAGGGGTCTGAAATCAAATTTGTACCAATTGTTTGATTAAGCAAAATTAGAATCTCGTTTCCATTTATAGTGGAATAGCAGTCCCCGTTTGAAGGATGGATGTCGACTATAAATCAAACAGACCCTTACTTTGTTTTACCTTTTTAGAAGAAAAATTATAGTATAATATATACACAATAATACAAAATACAAGGTTTTACACTCTACCCATTTGTATTTGTAATCCTTTCAAATCAAATTTTAAGTTGTTTTCTTACCAACCAAACTATATCAAAAAATGAGTCATTTTAAATTTTCATTTTCTTTTTTCATTATATTTTCACAATTAAAGTGTCAATGAATAAATTGGTCTGTGATGAATCCCGTTATCATCATCTCTATAAGAAAAAGAGAATTATGTAATTATTTTTTAAAAGAATTATTATATAATTACGAGATTATTGATATGATATTCTGCTGAGACAGGGACGGACGTCGTAGACTCGTAGATTACACATGCTAGCGTACATGAGGTTATCTTCGATGCACACTCACATAATCAATTTTCTATTTTACAAAACAGGCCTCAGAGTGTTTTTGAATTGAACGCATCCCCCTCTTTGCTGAGTCATGATTTCAGTAGCGAAATTTGTGGCCATTTGAGTTCCTCACCTTCACGAGTTTTCCGCGAAATTTCTCCTACTTTTAGCTCTCCCCTTCTCTTTCAATAACGTTTCAGCGGAAGCATGAGCGATATGCAGAGAAGAAATTAGGAAGTGGAAGAGGAAGATCTCTTGTTCTGTGCACTTACGAAACCCTAGAATTCGAGAAAGATGAATGACGCAGATGTCTCGAAGCAGATCCAACAGATGGTCAGATTCATCCGGCAGGAAGCCGAGGAGAAAGCTAATGAGATCTCTGTCTCCGCCGAGGAGGTAATTTATCTCCATTTGCTTATGCAATTGGTTTCTCCTCTTATTAATTCATCAAACTTGTTTTTCCGTCCTTTGATGTGAATTTATGCTTATTTGTTCAATTGCAGTCGAATATGTACCTTGTATGTTTCTGTTTCAGTGACTCAATTATGAGCCTCTACTGAATTTCTAAGTTTCATCAACTGTTTAAATGACACTGCCAGAAGCTTGTTTGCGTTCTGGAGTCCATCATTAGGGAATGATTCCATGCACTTTGAACTAAGAAATTAAGGACAACAGAAAAGGCTTGTATTATATAAATATGACATGTTGGCGACATTTATTAATTATTATACTATAATGTCTTGATCCAACACATCCGTACATTTATAGATTGAGATGAGAGTATGAGATTACTTGCTTCCCGGTTACCTCACTTCCGTACTTCGTAGACAGTAACGTTTTGAGTAATTGCAGCCGGAAGAAATTTTGAGTAATTTATTTATTGGTCAGCACGTTTTGTGTAATTTATCGTTTTATATTTGATACTTGATGACCTATTGAACTGTGAAATGGGGCTAGACTACCTTTTGTTTAAATTGTGCGTCTGGTGCCAACTGATGTTCATAATCTCATTGAACCCTTGATCATTTTTCCGAAGAATGATATTTTCATGCTATATCCTTAACTTGCTCTCATTTTCTGCAGGAATTCAACATTGAGAAGTTGCAACTAGTTGAAGCTGAGAAGCGGAAAATCAGACAAGAATATGAGCGGAAGGCAAAGCAGGTGGAAGTTCGTAAAAAGATGTAAGTTTTTTGTTTTTTGTTTTTTGTTTTTATCAATAAAGAAAGATTTTTTTTTTTAAATTCAAAGTAAGGTATTACAGCAAGGTGGAAAATTCTCCACCAAGAAACAATTTTAAAGCTTTCCCAAAATATTTGTTGTCTAACAGTCCCTTGTTTAGCCAAAGTATCCATCATCCCATTTGCTATTCTTCTCACCCATCTAAATACAACATTCATCTCCCTTGATAAACTTTCTATTTCCCGGACTGCGTGCCTATTAATCCATGGGATTTGGGTACTACTTCTTGTCCACAAAATGACCACTTGTGAGCCCTCTTCCACCTCTAGGTTATGAAACCCAAATTCTTGGAAAATTTTAATCCCTGGAGTAGACTAAAAAGCTCTGTTGTCAATGCATCACTGCTTGCCAAGAGTTCTTAATATAAAGCCAACACCTTTCCTTCTGAATCTTGGAAAAATCCCTCCCAACCCAGCCGCTGTCTGATTGCATATATAACTCCCATCAATGTTAAGTTTTACAAAGTTGGCTGCTGGTTGTCTCCACTCCATAATTACTCTTTCCCTTTCTTGAGCAGACAATGCCACTTTCTCCACTCCATAACTCCCATCAATGCCACTTTCCCTTTTTTGAATCCCCTTCAATTACCAACTTATGCATTTGCATGTTCTTAGCTCTCTGAATTCCTTCCAAAACAGCTAAAATTTCAGCCCTCAGATTACCTATCCCAATTGGACCGGAGTAAAATGCAATGATACTACCTTCATCATTCCTGAAGACTCCCAGCTTCCCAGGAACATGCACCTTAATTACTGAATGAAAGCCTTAAACCCAACCATATAAGTTGGGATACACAAGTCCTGTTTCTCCATTCCACCCTATCAATGGCCGTATCCCCAGTTTAGTTGTGAATCCTAAGATCATTTCTCAATATCAACTTTGTACTTGTGCTGACAATATGTACATTATAAATTTAACTGCCAAAGCATTGATATTGAGATGCATATTTGGTTTTTTATTATTATTCTTCTTTCTTTTAATTTCTGAATTTTATATGTTGACACCGAAGAAGTTGTGATGCAGTGAATACTCAATGCAGCTGAATGCATCACGTATTAAAGTTCTGCAAGCACAAGACGATGTGGTGAACTCTATGAAGGATTCTGCTAGCAAGGAGCTTCTGCGTGTTTCAAATGACTCCCATGCATATAGAAAGCTTCTCAAAGACTTGATTGTTCAAGTATCCTCTGAGTATTGATCTGGTTGATTATTGATAGATAGAGAAGCAAAAGTATATTTGTGATGGATCTTAGGTCCATCACCCTCATTGAAAGAATCTTTGGTAGTCTTGTGCCATGCATGCTGTCACCAATTAAACCCTTCTAAGAGGGTAGATCCTTTTTTACCAAAAAAAGGGGTTAGAAAATTTTTAAAATAAATAATGATCCTCTTGGGGGGGGGGGGGCTGCTACCTTGCAATTTGGATTTCAGCTCTAACCATAATGTTAACATCAATATGCTTGATATCTTGGTGCTATGCATGCTGGTTGGATAATTTGGATCAGTATAGTATTGAACAATATCAGACCTTGTGTTCAATGACTACTAATGGACCTTGTTTCTACACTTGTAATCTTTTTAGAAGCACTCCTAGTGTGGAATACAACCAATATTTAACCATAAAAACTTGGTAATGTAATATTTTACTTCCAAGTTCAATCCAATTAAAGGACTTACCTAACCAGACAAAACAGAAAAAGACATGTCTAATAAACCTTATTTGACTTGGTTGACATTAGTCAATCAGTGAGTTCTTAAACATTGGTTTTATGTCTTCCTTGCCATCTCCTTTGTGCTGTTACTATTCAAAATCATGAAGGCTTAGTGACTGAGAATTTTTTCTTGTTATTCCAGAGTTTACTACGACTGAAAGAGCCATCCATATTGTTACGGTGCAGAGAGGTTGATCGTGAACTTATTGAGTCCATTTTAAATGAAGCAAAGAAAGAGTATGCAGAGAAAGCCAAAGTTCATCCCCCTAAAGTTGTAATAGATGACCGTGTATACCTTCCACCACCTCCCAGTGATGCAAATTCACATGGTCCCTTTTGGTAAATATTCCTACTTGCATTTTGATTCCAAATGATGAATGTGAAGAGACAAAATTCGCCATCTCTTATGCAGATGGGGCCATCTTGTTTAATTTCCATGGACTGTGCTGTCAATGAATCACTGTTCTGTGGGGGCATATACCTAAAAGTCAGATCAACTGGAAGGTCTTAATTATCTAACATAGGCATCAACATTCTGGTTATTAGCTTTATTGGTTTTTAGGTGTCAGAAGCCCAAGTTTTAGCAATGAATTGGTTGAATAAGATTCTCTGATTGGTCTGACCATTGGGTCATATATTGAGGGGGGGGGGGGCAGTGATGCATTCTTGGAACCATGACCACCATCAATTATATATTTAGGTAGTAGTTACATGGTCATTAACTAATGTTGGTCCTAGCTGTTGTAAAACTCAAACCGGACACAGAACCAGAAAGCTTGCCAGGTTGCAGGTTGAATGGTTCAACTGTGAATTGGTGCGGTGGCATGTCAATACACATGACCAAGAGGTTTCAAGGTCAAATCCTCGTATTGGCATTTTGGATATTGTAACAATTTAGTGATCCAGGTGGGTCATGAAAACCGGCCAGGTATTAAAAATTGGTTTTCAATGGTTCTGCCAGGTTTTGATCAATTTGATTGGTTTTCCAGATTGGCCATTAAAAAACCGGAATGGCCTCTGGTTCCCAGGTCTGGCTAGTCAGGTATGAATCATACAACACTGGTCATAGCTATCTTGGGCCTTGGGAGTGGTGAACTGGATTTGGACTTGACCTCCAGATTTTTGCACAAAGCGGTTGCTCTCAGGCTCAAACCCACATTTCTCATGCATGTCAGACTGAGATGTTACCATCAAACAAAGCAATGGTCAGAAAATGAACCATATATTTTCTTATATGCAAAGATTAAACTTTTGCCAATAGTTGTTTGTTAGGGAATTCCACTTATTTTATTATCCTCTTTCCTATACCCCTGAGACTAAATTTGGTTTTTTTTGTCTAGGGTGGCAACTTATGCCTTGGCATGAAACATAGCGAAAACCTAATGATTTTTCTTTGATTTTTTTGTGTTTTGTTTTCTCTTTCGTATTTTATTTTATTTCTTTTATCTTTCTGGGCAACTCCAGTTTTCACAGAAAGGTTGAGGGCCCAAAAGGACTTGACCCTGTTACTTGTTGAACCATCTGGTTAATGGGCATTCTTATTGTTCTTTTCTCCCCTATCCTTTTCTATTTTTTTTTTCCTTTTCCTCTTCTTATTCCTTTTTTGGCCAGGTTCATGTTAGGTTGTTCATATCTCCCAACTGTTTCTTCTTTCTACTAACTCTTTCCATTGTGTCAACAGCTCTGGAGGAGTAGTTTTGGCTTCACAGGATGGGAAGATAGTCTGCGAAAACACACTAGACGCAAGGTTGGATGTTGTTTTTCGACAGAAACTACCAGAGGTATTTATTTTCAAACTGTGGAATTAATTGAAAATTTGAACCATAAGAGGATGAAAATTCTTAACTTGCAGATTAAATCCAGTAAATCCTCCTCACAAAGACATTAAACCCTGAGGGCTGGGGATGTCAGGTCCTCTAAACAGCATGCATGGCTCTTTCTATGATCCATGAGGTTTGTCGATGTGCTATAACCCCAAAGCCCCAACCACACCAGTTAATCCATGTAATGTTCCTACATTTTGGACTGAATTTGTCAAATCAACATAGTCTGGCCAACATGAAATGGGATTTTCTCCTCACAGAGCACTCATCACACCAATCTCACAGCACATCCCACCGTTTATTGGAAACATCTCCCCATGAACAACATACAAGGACAGGAGATGTTCCCAATGTGCAGCTGAGATGTGCTATGAGGTTGGTGTGAGGAGCAGATCCGGACTCAGCCAACATGACCACCCTAGTCGTGGGCCACAAACTGAACAGGCAGGTCTATGAATTAGTATTTAAGGTTTTGGAAACTGGTGCTTGAAACTCTTGTTCACATTACTGCTGTCATCATATGCTTGTTAATAAATTATTGTCCTGGTAAGTAGTATGTAGGTTATATGCACCTAGGACAATCGAACATGTAAATAAAGGGCATCCAAATGGTGTCTTGAAAGATTATGATAAATAACTTTTGACATCATTCTCGTATTTTACTTCGCAACTTATTTTACAGCCACAAAATGTACATCTCGTGCAACATTCCATCTAAGCTTCTAGACTACTAGGCCGCTGTATGTGTGCTTCTATTAATTTTATGGTTGATTAAGATGATAGTTTCAGCAAACTGAGTTTACCTGGGTCAATTTTTGGTGGTGGAAAAGAGTTAGACAGGGCTTATTCCCCTTGGGAAGATTGGCTTTTTTGGCAGAAAATATCCAATCCGATCTCCAAGGACTCCATACATATTCTGAAATAGGAGTTGATAGTTTAGTTTTGTTCACAGTGCATCAAGCCTCATTTAAGAGCTGGTGGCATCCTAACTCGGCATTTTCCTTATATATTCCTATCCATGCAGATTCGGAAACGGCTCTTTGGAAAGGTGGCTGCTTAATCATGGCGGGTGGTATTTCCTCTCTATCTCTTATAAAGGACATGCCTCTTGTTTTCTTAAAAGCGGCTTCAGAACTTGGATGGCTAAAGGCTTAATGCAGCTTGGGCTTCTTCCCCTTTCATTTCATTTTAAGAGACTATATTGTTTAGAGGCCGATTTCTTCTATTCTCGCATGTAGCTAATCTATATTATATTGCTCAAAATTTGCCTTTTGCTCGTCCGTAAGTCTATTCCACTGGTATTTGAGGCTTTTAGCATACTCACATGCCTTCATTTTGACTCAGTCAAGTAGGGGTGAGCATTCGGTTTATTCAAAACTGAACCAAATAAACTGAATTTTTTTAAATCAAAACTAAAACCGAATTACAATAAAACCGAAATAACCAAACTAAAATTTTTGGTTCGATTTTCAGTTATTTCAATTAAAAACCGAATTTAATTATTATTATTATTATTATTATTATTATTATTATTATTATTATTATTATTATATAATGAATTTTAGTTAATTTGGTTTTTTCGGTTAACTGAATTTTTAAATCTGAAAACTGGAATTGTTAAAAATCAAATTAATTGAACCAAATTACCCAAAAACCGAAACCAAAGTTTTTGGTTCGGTAATTCGGTTTTAACTGAATAATGCTCACCTCTAGTGGGGGGCTGATGTACTCACAACATCTCCGTGCATTGAGAACATCTCCCCATGCATAATACTATGTAAGAGGATGAAACGATCCCCACGTGTAGTTGCGATGTTATGTGATAGATCAATAACTTAAAAATAACAAAAAAATCAAACCTATTAGATTTTTAACAAAAAAAATTAGTTGACTTATGGATATGATAGATCAATATATGTGTACATTATAATTTTTCCTTACTATCATATATCTTTAAAAAATATAATTTTTTTCTATTATTTTATATTTTCCTATTTTTTGTTAAAAAATTACACAGAAACGAAATAACATCGAAATAATTATCAAAAAAAAAATGAAATAACATCGGAATTTGAACACTAAGAGTAAATCAGTCTAGATTGAAACATTTTCATGCATTCAAAGAGAAAAGGCTACAGAAAATATGAAGATGAAAAAGTTTGTGAAAATCTTATCATTTTTTTGTTGATCCCACCCAAGACACATTAAACTTCAAAAATCTGAATTCTTGATGGTTTTATCCATTATTTTTTATATATCCAGGAATTTTTAATCATCTGGAGCACTCTTGCGAAAAATTCAATTGAGCCGATACACCACCAGTATCAGTAGATCTTTGAAATTCTGTGTTCCTCGTAACATATATCAGTAGGTCGTTGGAACACCTGTATCACACAATACGCGTTGATACATTGCGATTTTGCCATTGAATAAAGTTGTTAGTGTAGGGGTATTTTTGTCTTTATACTTATATTAGGGTTGTTGATCTGTAATGTTATGTTAGAACCAGTACTCCTTACTTAAATAAGGGCACATATGTCTTTTCCACTATTTTTAATAATAAAAGCACATGTCTGGCCAAATGGGAGTAGGGTTTTGACTTTCAATTCGAACCAGACTTGTCTCTCTCTCTCTCTCTCTCTCTCTCTTTCTTCCACCTTTCTACCTCTTTCTACGTGACTAATCTCAGACAAACAGAACTCCAAGGCAGGCTGAATCATAACATGGTATCAGAGCCAAACTAAGCAACTCAAATCTGCCTAGATTTCTATTCTTTGCGCACCCAATCTAGGGTTTTCTCTTGTTTTTCCTACTATCAAGTGGAGATAAGGGAAAGGGCTGAAAAGGAGTGATTGCCCTCTTCCCTTGGAGGTTTCTATGCCTCTAGTTGTGTCTTGTGTGGTCGGTTGTTGTGGTTTCTAAGAAGCCCTCCCCTAATCGATGAAGAGAAAAGGGTCGATTTGTGTGGTGCAGTGGCTGTTTTGTGTGGACTGATTTTCTGCTCGTGTGGTTGTTCTTCCAGTGATAAGGTAAGAGATTTCTATGCATGTTTTCTGTAATGAATCAAATAGGAAGTACGTTTCAGATCATATGTTGGGATTTCATACAGTAGCGTGGTAGGGTTTATCTTGTTTTTGTGTGATTCGAAGGAAGAATTGTGATCATATAGTGATGAGATTTCAAGTAGCCGTAGGGGTAGGGTCTGTGGTGTAAAGAGTACAATTCTCAGCAATAAAAAAAAGTGTTGAAATCAGTGTGACTACTGTGATCTAGTCGAGTGCAGTGTGTAGAATTCAGTGATAATAGAATTCAACAAGTGTGCAGAATCGGTGATAACAGAATGGGAGATAATAGTGATAGTAAACCTAATGTGATGGTGCTTACTGACTACCTGAACGTTCAAATGACCTCCATTAAAATGAATGGAGAGAATTATGTGCCTTGGGCTAAATCTGTCGAAGTCTTTCTGAAGGCAAAGAAGAAGGTAAAACACATAAGAGAGGAGAAACCCTCCACTGACTCTCACGAGTATGAAGATTGGGAGCAAGATGATGCACAAATTATCACGTGGTTATGGAATAGTATGGAACCCAGGATTAGTGTAAATTTCATGTTTCTTGACACTGCCAAAGATGTGTGGGACCATGCTAAAAAATTGTATTCGGGTCAGAACAATACAACCAGAGTGTATAAGTTGTATCAAGAATACTTTAATCTGCAACAGGGCAATCAGAGTCTTGAGGAGTAATATGCCAATATGAGAAACATCCGTAATGAGTTGAACATTTATCACCCTCTCACTTTTGATGTCAAAATTCAACAACAACAGAGAGAACAGCTTGATGTGACTCGATTTTTTGTGGGACTGAAATCTGAATATGAACCAATACGGGCTCAAATACTAGGAGGGTCAGCTCTCCCTTCTTTAAAAGAGGTATTTGTTCGATTCCGAATGACTTCTATTGGATCTACTGAGAACTCTAATATCTTAGATAGATCAGCATTTGCTGTGTCGAGAGGCCGTGGTGTTAGAGGTGGAGCTCGGGGAGCTTAGTCTGGCCGTGGTGGTAGTAGTGGTCCGGTGTACGGCCGAAGTGGCGGTGGTGGGCCTACTTATAACCGTGGTGGTGGTCGCACTAGAGGTAGAGATTCAGGGGGAGCCCGTAATAAAGAACGTGGCTCAAGTCCGAGGAGATGTACTCATTGTGGTATGGATGAACATACCATTAACTATTGCTATGATCTACATGGTCCACCCTCAACCTGGGCCAATTATGCCGTGACTAGTGACACCAGTTCCAGTTTTAGACAGGAGAATCGTTCATCTGATCAGATACCTCCTACACCCACAGATGGTCCCGTGAAGGAGATGGTAAGTGTTCCCCGTGATAAGTATGAGAGGTTTATCCAGTCCACGTCACAACAGAACACGGATACTTTCGCACACTCAGGTATGGCTTGTTTGGCATCCACACCCAATCCTTGGATTATTGACTTTGGAGCCTCTAATCACATGATTGGAACTCCAAGTGTGTTTTCTTCCCTCTCTCATTGCTCAACATCACAATCTGTCACCCTTGCTAATGGTTCCACATCCTCAATCTGTGGTATTGGTAATGTTAACCTAGACTCTGTATCCCTATCATCAGTTTTGTATGTTCCTAAATTGCCTTTTAATCTTATGTCTATTAGTAAGCTGACCAAGTCACTTAATTGTTCCATTACCTTCTATCCTTCTATGTGTGTTTTTTAGGATCTCAAGACGGCGATGAAGATTGGTGGAGGGCATGAAGATGGTGGACTGTATTACATTGATGGTGGTGGAAGAACTTCAACAGCTCTCCAGTCATCTCTTTCTCCACTCCAGTGGCATTGTCGATTTGGTCATCCGTCGCTGAAAGTTTTGAAGTCTTTGGTTTCGTCTTTGAGTCAACCTTCTGTTTTGGACTGTGAGTCATGTCAGTTTGGGAAACACCATCGTGTTTCCTTTAGTCCTAGGGTTGATAACTGTGTGTCGAGTCCTTTTTCTTTGATTCACTCCGATGTTTGGGGTCCTTATAAAGTGATGCCGTGTAATGGATATAGATATTTTGTCATTTTTGTTGATGATTTTCCAAGAATGACGTGGCTCTATCTAATGAAAGAAATAAGTGAATTGTTTACCATCTTTCATAAATTTTATGCTGAGATTCGTAATCAGTTTGGTATTCACATTAAAATTTTCCGTTCTGATAATGGTCGTGAATATTTATCTTCATCATTTCAAGAGTACTTGGACCAACATGGCATTATACATCAGACCTCATGTACCTACACCCCACAACAAAATGGGGTGGCTGAGAGAAAGAATCGCCACCTCTTGGAAACAGTACGATCCCTCATGCATCACATGAATGTTCCCAAACCCTTTTGGAGTAATGCGGTGCTTACCTCTTGCTTTCTGATTAATCGGATGCCCACGTCCATCATTGATGGTCATTCTCCATTTACGATATTGTTTCCCACCTTGTCTATGTTTCCTCTTTCTCCTCGAGTATTTGGGTGTGTCTATTTCGTCCATAATCTGGGCCTCGGGAACAACAAGTTTGACGCTCGTTCTCTAAAATGCATCTTCCTTGGCTATTCTCAGACCCATAAAGGGTATAAGTGTTACCATCCTAGTTCTCGACGGTTCTTTGTGTATGCTGATGTCACCTTCTTTGAGTCTTCTCCGTTCTTTTTGGGGTCCGGTGATGCTTCTTCCTCCTCATCACCTCCTCCTCTTTCACTTCCAATTGCCAATCCCCTTCCCCTTGTTCCAGTTGTGACCAAGTCCTTGCCTCTAGTGCCACCACCTGCTGAATGCCTATCTATCCGTCAAGTGTATACACATCGGCCACGTGTACCGGCTACATCACTGTCGACAGATCCGACTCCAGACCCGAACCCAGTATCTGATATTGATCTTCCCATTGCCATGCGGAAAGGTAAACGCACTTGCACCCTTCATCCTATTTCTCATCATGTTTCATTTACTCACATTTCCGCCTCCCATCACCAATTTGTCATTTTGTTATCATCAGTTGTTGTCCCTAAGGATGTCCAGGAAGCCCTTGCCTCTCCAGGGTGGTGTCTTGCGATAGTAGAAGAACTTTCAACCCTTCATCATAATCATACTTGGGATCTCATCGTTCTTCCTCCTAGGAAGCAGGCTGTCGGTTGTAGATGGGTTTATACAGTTAAGTATTTGCCTGATGGTAGTGTTGAACGCCTAAAAGCGTGATTGGTTGCAAAATGGTACTCCCAAACCTATGGTATTGACTACACAGAGACCTTCTCACCAATTGCTAAGATAGGGTCAGTTCGTGTTGTGATCTCTCTTGCAACTATGTATGATTGGCTGATATATCAACTTGATATCAAGAATGCATTTTTGCATGGTGACTTACTCGATGAGGTCTACATGGAGCAACCTCCAGGGTTTGTTGCTCAGGGGGAAGATGGTAAGGTATGCAGACTAAAGAAGGCTATATATGGGCTTAAACAGTCTCCTCAAGCATAGTTTGGTAGGTTCAGTGAGGTAGTAAAGAAGTTTGGTATGAAACAGTGCCAAGTTGATCATTCCATATTCAGTCATGACTCTCCGGGAGGAAAAATACTGTTAGTGGTATATGTAGATGATATTGTTATTACTGGGAATGATAACATGGGCATTGACAGGCTGAAGACTTATCTACAAGATCATTTTCAAACAAAGGATCTTGGTAAATTGAAATATTTCTTGGGGATAAAGATAACAAGATCTAAGTATGGGATTAATTTGTGTCAGAGGAAATGTGTGCTTGATTTGCTGGAAGAAACAGTCTTGTTGGGTGCTAAACCAACTGAAACACCTATGGAAACAAATACTAGGCTAAACAGTGATATGGGTGAAGTGTTTGAAGACCCTGGCAGATACCGACAACTTGTAGGTAAACTGAACTACCTAACCATTACTCGGTCAGACATTTCATTTGTGGTTAGTGTGGTAAGTCAGTTCGTACAGAAACCTCTGGTTCCTCATTGGAATGCAGTTCTGAGAATTGTGAGGTATTTAAAAGGGACCCCGAGTCGTGGTTTGATATACAGAAGTGGCGAAAAGCCTGAAATAGAAGGGTATTCTGATGCTGACTAGGCCGGTTCTATGTCTAATAGGTGGTCTACCACAGGCTATTGCACTTTTCTGGGGGTAACCTGGTGACATGGAAAAGTAAGAAACAAACAATCATGGCAAGAAATAGTGCAGAAGCAGAATATAGAGCTATGACACATACTGCTTGTGAATTAGTGTGGCCAAGGAACCTTCTACAAGAAGTAGGATACAACATCAATACTCCAATGAAGCTCTATTGTGACAATCAAACTGCAAGTCATATTTCTTCTAATTCGGTGTTTCATGAAAGAACCAAGCACATTGAGGTTGACTGTCACTTTGTGAGGGAGAAAGTGCTGAGTGGAGTGCTAGACGCTGCATATGTCAATACAGGAAACCAGTGGGTAGACTTATTTACAAAAGGGTTGAGTCGGAGAAAAGTAAACTACATATGTAACAAGCTGAGATTGTATGATATATACTCACCAGCTTGAGGGGGAGTGTTAGTGTAGGGGTATTTCTGTCTTTATACTTATATTAGGGTTACTAATCTATAATGTTATGTTAGAACTAGTGCTCCTTACTTAAATAAGGGCACATGTCTTTTACACTATTTTTAATAATTAAAACACATGTCTAGTCGAATGGGAATAGGATTTTGACTTTCAGTTCGAACCAGACTTTTCTCATTTTCCCTCTCTCTCTTTCTTCCACCTTTCTACCTCTTTCTTCGTGATTGATCTCAGACAAACAGAACTCCAAAGTAGGCCGAACGATAACAAAAATTTTAGGTAAACGAATCAATCCAATCCAGCCATCGAAGCCATGTTAACCCAAGTGATTTGCTTCATATGGTCCGCTGTTGTCTGGGCAATGGAAGATTGGCAAATTTAGGAGGTCCCACTGTCCCACGGTCAGCAAGGATTAACCCAGCTGAAGGGTCTCATGTATTTTATTATTGGCGTGCAATATTACCATTGGTTCCACAGCCAGCTGAATAGAACAGCCATCACGTTCGGCTAATCTGAATTCCCGGAGAGGGAATTACTATTCAATATATATGGACCCCACCTATATAGACCGTCCTATATCAAAATCATCTTCTTTATAGTTTTATGACATTCTTTGCACAAATTTTCGGTCTGTAAATATCAGATGGCTAGGTGCTGTGACTAAATTGATATTGGGTATGAATGATGCAAAGTTGAACAACCCAGAGACGACAAAGATAATGGTGTGAACTGTTATATTGGAACCGTAATCTACACTACAATTGTCTATGAAGCAGAATGCTTCCGTCTTCTTCCAGTCTTTCCATCTGATCCCTGTGATTTCCTCCCAGACTTTTGCCTCTTCCCTCCAGGTGGGCTGCTGAAGATCCCAATCCGCCCAATGCCCCTAGACAGCGAGGTAAGGAATGTTTTTCCTTGCCTTGTCTTCTCCATCATACCCTGCTTCATGAACCCCTGTTCCTTCTCCAAATCACTCAGCCTCACTCTCATCCTTGAGATCTCAAGCTTCAGCTCTCGGTTTTCCCTCCTCAGCGATGCATAGTTATCTCGAGGAGACACAGCTGCACTGGGAACACCACTGCTTATCCTCTGTGACAGGAATCCATCCCCTGAGCTTCCAGAAAGAGCATTTTTCAGGCGAAGCTGCTCAAAGTAGAGTACTCGGACAACCATCTGTACTGGAAGGCGGTCATTCTGTGCTGCATGATTACAGGCTTCCTGAGAGAGTTTTTGGCAATCTATGAACTTGCAAAGGTTCTTGCATTCGTTTTCAGTCAGCATTGGATGAGCCTAAACAAGAAATTAGAAAATTAAATTTCAATTTCAAATAATAGAGAAATGTTAAGTAACTACTTCCAGGACATCGTAAACAAGCTGCAGCCTACACAGATCAGATGGATAGACAGCCCAATCACAAATCCTGTTTTCAGATCATGATCAGAAGTGTCCATTTTGTTTACTAGTGGTAAAACTTCATTCACCAAGAGTTTGCTGCCTGTAAAGTCATTAAAGATTCTACTACATTCACAGAAATGCAATGCAATGCAATATGGACCAAATATTTTTCATGCTTTTCAGCATTGCAAAAGGTGAAAAAGGTAGACCAGAAGCCATTTATTAGATTTGAATGATATGATGCTCCTACACCACACTGTTCTTTCACCAAAGGCGGGCCTAACTGTCAATCCTAGGCACACATTTTCACAATTTGAAACTAACCAATCTTCACTGTACATGGTCCATGATTGGATCATACAGATGAAAAAGGTAGACCAGAAGCCATTTTATTAGATTTGAAGAATATGATGCTCCTACACCAGACTGTTTTTTTACCAAAGATGGGCCTAACTGTTAATCCTAGTCACATTTTCACAATTTGAAACTACCAATCTTCAGTGTACATGGTCCATGATTGGATCATACAGGTTTCACAGGATAGCCTTTTTTTCACAGAAAAATAGCTATTTGCATCATTTTGATTTAGGTATACCTGGCCAATTTAGTAGGCTGACATAACTCAATAAATAGCTTTATTAGAGTGGCATCCCAGAATCACATTGCTTAATTTAAAGACATTGATTGCCTGGTGCATTATTTTATGGAGGAAAACTTACCTAGATGACAATAAAATCAGTAATGGAGTGATTGTAGGATTCCAAAGGAATGAATTCATTTCTACACTTCTTTCAATGATAAATTTATTCCATATGGTAAAGAGGGTTTTCAAGAACTGGGGTGCTGAACTTTATACTTAACTTTGTTTTCTTAGTTCTAATAAAATTCTAAGATACCCATTAAAAAAATGATTCCATATGCTAAACTTGTGCCTCCAAAGTCAGCAATTCCTAATGAAGTCATTTTAGAGCCCAACTGTTCAGTTATTGAATCAATTGGATTTCCCAAAATCCAAAATCAGCAAACTTATGAAATTTGCTGGAACTGATAAAAAAAAAAAGGCACCAACATGAGGGAAAAAGAGAGCGTACCTTCTTAGTATCTGATGGTCAAGGTGAATAAAACTGCCAGTGCATTATGGCACAAAAGGAATGACTATAACTCCCCAACACATTGAATTATTGGTTCCCCTAGACAATACATGTTTTCTATCTACAAAATACAACATATTGGATAATTTGGAAATCATAATCAGGGCAACCTGGCTGAGGAGATTTAGGTAAGAACCATAGGATGGTAGGATGGTGGTGGTCCAGAGACCATGCATTGCCAAAGTATTCTAATTCTGTTGGCATGCTGTTCCTGGTCTATCAGATATTACCATAATTTGTTTTTCTATTTACTGAGTGCAGTGCTTACCTTCAAATATATATCAACTGCTCTGTAAAGTCCATCATCGACAACACGGGCATAATCAGGCAAGATCTCTATTATTGCAATGAATCTCTGCAGATTCAGATATGGATCAGGTGCAATTTCTGCAAGATATGCATCAATAAGCCGCCCAACCTTCAATATAGCACCATGGCGTGGAGAACCAAGACCTTCAGATTCATAACCATACTGTGATGATTCATCAGGTTCTTCCTCTTCAATCCGCTGCAAGAAATTTACCAATATGCGGTGGACAACATCAACATCAAATAGAGAATCACCAGTCTGCACAGATGGGATAAGCAGGTCATCAAGCGAAACCATGTCCAGCCTGAAACCAATCCTCCTTTCAAGTTCAAGTCTGCAGGCAACAGTGGCATCTACCATGATTGTCATCCTCAGCATTCCAAACAGAAAACTCAGTGGAACAGACAAGCTTTTCTCTGTTGGCAGAAGATTTACAATAGTTTCTACAATGATCCCCTGTTCATTTTCTCCCATGCTGGGATTCAATTTCATTCTTGATGGATCCCATATCTGGCGTTTTCCAATACCCTTCAGGGATGTCTGAGCATAATGCATGAGAGATGTGATAATGCTGTCTGGCCGAACACCTGTTCTTCTCATGGCTAAAATAACTCTTTGATAAAGATCAATTCTTAATACTGATAGGTCTTCAACCCACCACTCAAAAGAGTCCATCTTCAGTTTTCCAGACCCACCATCACATTCCAAGCGAGATAGACCTGATACCAACTGCTCCTTGCAAGTATTCATAGCAATTGCATCTATACATCTGTTTAAGATCCCCACTTCCTCTGCTATAGGGGGTAGTGTCTCATAGTTAGATAGAACTTCAACCGATTTTTCAAGACTTTGAAACACAACTTCATTCAGATATGTCTCTGTCTGGGCAATGAGGTTTTCTTCTCGGTAGTCTTCAGTCATTTCCAGGTATTCTGCCGCACAACGAAGGTGGGCAACATTTGTTGCAGTAATCTCAAAGTTTGTTCCATAACAAAATTTTGCTGCAAGCTCAAAGGTCTTGGGTCCACCTGGTAAGTCAAGTAATTCCAATTTCGAGAGGTTTGAATCCTTGGCATCTGCCACCATTTTCCGGATCTTTCCACTCCGAGAGACCAGTGGGAACTTCAGTAAACAGAAGATAAAAAAAATAAAAAAACAAAGAGATTGGTTGATTATTATGACCCTCGTACTCTTAGTAAAGCTAGGATGTGCAAGAAATTAATTGTTGTTGATAACCCCTGCCACATGAGACATACATCTTTACAAGCATGAATACATACATATCTGTGAAACTAAAGCTGGGTGATTCTTAGGATGCTTGGCAGATTGCTGTTGTATACCATTCCTTTCCATAGATTGTTACTAATAAAAAATGGTTATTAATTAAAGAAGATAGTTTAAGAATAAACAACACTTCTAATTATTACGACTGAAGGGCATTCCACCATTTCAGTGAAAGTGCTTAACAGGGTGAAAGACGCTTCGTACCCATAATCATACCATCACCAGTACCAGGATTAAAAAAGAAGCCGATTGATGTCTGACTCACTCCTAGTCCTACCACTAGCTTCAAAAATGATAATATACTATTTAGACACAAAACTTGGAAAATCTAATTTGCCCTATCCTTCACCTCTAGACCATAATTCTCAAAAGATGGCATTGAAACATTGCATTAGCACAAATTATGTAGAGGGTAAGAAAATGAACTGAAAGGAACGAAAAGTGAAACAAATTCTTAAGAAAGCATCACTTGCATATTAATACTAGTTATAAATATTGAGAAGAACAAATATTCCTACCTTGTGTAATAAAAAAGATTCTCCATCAACAATGATGGTTATGTCCCCTGCAACATCTGAGAAGATCCTGCATATAGATAGCAAACCATTTTTAGATTTAGTATTTAACTATACAACAAACTGAACTTAAAGGAATATTTTTGTTATTCTCCTTTCTGAGATAAAGAACAAAGGGACAGAACATGACTCGTATTTGTATTAGATAGCCATAAAAAGCCTTGAAAATGATAACATATTACAAAATAAAATTCAAGATTTACATTTTCAACTCCCAAAAAGAGTAGTAAGTAATGTTTACCAAAACAAAACACGATAGAAACATCAAACATGATGAAAAAAGGAAGAGCATACGAGGAACTATGTGTAATCTAAGTCAGCCAACCCCGTATGGTTCGGATAAGGCTTTGTTGAGATGAGTTAAGGTGCGTGGTTTAACTGTTCCCTGCCAGGGAAGCAGTAGGGGAAAAAACAGAAAAGTAAATTTTGAAGTACGGAGTCCAGTTAGGATACTAACAAGGAACACAAGGAAACAAATTCTGTTTCTTCTTAACACCTCAAAGAGTAATTTTGGCATTAGCTTACATTACCTCAAACCAGAGAAAAGAGAAGAAAAAGAAGATGAACCGACATGGATAATAAAGCAAGTCGATGCTAAATGCTCCGTTGACGATTAAAAAAATACCCGAAAAAATAAAACCACAAGAGTTTGCACATTTTAGCAGAAATATCAGAAAGAGAAGCAGGACGAAAAAATAAATTTCTTCGCCTTAAACCCTAGAACAAAATGCTGCAAGTCAGTAACAGACTAGCAGCATCGGAAAATGATAATTTACCAACAAAATAATACACTAAAAGTATATATGTGAAAAAAAGTTTATGACAGAACATTGAACAGTTCTAAATTTTGAAGTTGGTGACCTATTAAAAAAGATAAAAAATCGACCGAATCACATTTAGCTAACACTTTACAAAGTAATTGTAGTATACACTACACACTACAGAGGAGGGAAAGACACAAATTGGAAAGTGTAAAAAATTTAAACAGACAATCGTTAATCATGTTAAACAACTATTGGATTAAGTAGAACCTCAAGCAACCATTATAACAGAAAGAAAACCCATTACCGATTACTGAAAGAGTTGCAGAACTTAGGGGTGGTGGAACGATTCAAAGAAGGGAAAGCGTTCTCAGTCAGCATTTCACCTTCATTTGTAACGTCTGAGGAGACTGGAGAGAGAAAGAAACTGCGACTTATTATGGAGGGAACATGAAGTGGTCTATTAAATTACAAAGATGCCCATGCTACTTTGAATGATCTACGGATATGCCCTTTTCTTCTTTTTAACCTTTCTCAGTCCTCGCTTTTACTTTTTCTTATCGTTTTCTAATGGAGAAAAGGTCGAAAAGGGGTTCATGCGAACCTGACGAGATTCGCATTCGAATTCAGCGACTTAGGAGCAGAGGCTTTCGGACTGATAATACCCCTTCGCCCCTTCGGTCTACTGACCACTACAGTGGTGTCGGATCTATGGCGGTATGGCCAAAGAACAAAAGAGGCATCGTCATGATGAATGAGTCTCACTGGGATTGGCGTCTTTTTTTCCCCTCGTGATTCGTTTTATTCTTTACAAAAGGAAAAGATTATGATCGAATGGTCACTTCTATACCCAAGCTCTCTCTATCTATGGTTCCAGTTGAAGAATAATAACACATTAACACCAATGAAATCAGCGGTTATCTTTTATGATATGTGCCTGAGGAGAACTAACACCAATGATATGTTAGAGGGAGGGAACCAGACACATATACATCCCACAGCATCATCTAGCTGTTAGAGGGAAGGAATCCAGACACATATACACCCCACAACAGCATCCCATACTACCCATGTGGGACCAATAGATCGTAACACTTTACAACTCGCAGACCATTGTTCAGGGTGCATTATTTTTCTTTTATAATAAAATATATTATATGCTTTTCTTTTTAAGCCATTTGGTAAGCCTATGCGGTGATGTGTTGTGTTGTTCTAAACTTTTGAATTCAATCTCCGTTGTCTTTTTCCCTTTTAGGGTAAACCCTTTCAAGTTGTGTTTGGTTTGGGCCTTTGGAATGCGGTGTTCTTTTATGGTCACAGTGGTAAATCGGATTGGGTTAGATTGGTTTGAGGTCAATCCTAGGCATGGTTTTCAAAACCGAACCAAATCGAATGATCAGACCGGAAAACCAGGAATCGGTCAGCCCCAAAATCGGCTTTTTGCCAAAAAATTATTGATTTGGCCAGCAAATTGCTGAATCGGGTGATTAAATCGTTCAAATTGTTCGACAGTTTTGACCTTTTTTATTTATTTTTTTGTTAGAATGTGCCGACCGTTCAACTCGGGAATCAGACCCTTGATCAGTTTATTATCCGGGTCGGTTTTAAAAACCTTGGTCCTAGGTACCACTCGAGTTGGTTCAAGTTAGCATTTTTCATTGTTTTGGACTAAGGCCTCTGAACTGGGCCCATGCACAAGCAGCGAGGGGTCGATTTGGAATGAGTACAAATATAAATATGTAGAGCCTAAAATCTTTTATTTTGTATTATTTTATATGTACTAGAGGGGATCCAGTTGATGCACATGTTTTGTTAAGCAAAAATTAAATAATAGAAATACACAAGAGTAGATAATTGTTTTATGATTTAATTCTTAAATAATTAATAATTATTTATATTTTATATACTACTTTTAATAATTTTTTGTAATAAAAAATAACAATAATCAATTTCATTTAGTGATACTCATCAAACTGATGAAACTGACCCAACTTTACCCAAGTTGGTCACTTTCTAGTACTTCCGATCGGCTTCGGTTCAGTAATTTCACAACCCGACCAAGTCAGATTAGTTTCAGTTTGTGCATTTGTAAAATGACTAAAATTGAACCGACTCGATTATAAATATATATTAATATTTTATATTTAAATATAATTTTTTAATACATGAAAGTGGGAAAATCCCATATTTCTTAGTCTAAAATATTTTATATTGTAAAATTAAATTTTTAAATTTATTCTTTTAATAATATCATTATATTTTTTAAACTATCCTTATGGTTTAGCTAATTGACTAAGTGTACCCTTACTGTTTGAAAACTAACTAACGCTAACCCTACTAATTCTGACAATTGAATAAGTCTACCCTTACCATTAACTTTCCGTTACATATGATATCATGTGACTAATATATTAATCAAAAAGTCCAAAAACACCCTTCCCACCTCCATTCCTAAAAATACCCTTTGGCCTTTTGTCTTCATCAGTTCACCCAAATAATTGGTCGGCTCAGCAAACTTCGACGTGAGCGAATTCTCGTCGACGTCGATATGGTTACCATTGATATCCTATGCTTGATGTCAAGGTCTTTATAATGGTGGACACGGACAAGGACTTCATAGAGAGAAGTGGTGTATTCCCCGGATGAACTGTTCTCTTTGGTTTTAGAAACCTGGGCCAGAAAGAGAGGGATGGCCTTTGAATCAAGGTCTTTCACGTATGACTTCAGTGCTTTCATTGCTGATCTTCGACTCTCTAAATCCTTGTCAAGGTTCTCTAGCCATTGTTGGAGTACTGAACTCAGGTTTCTACCCATCTTTGCAATTGAAACAAATAGAGAAGCTTCTAGTTTAATTGAAATTTCAAAGCATAGATGCAGTTTGTGGCATAAAGAACTGAAAGAATGAGGTGGGTTTGAATAGAAATCAAATGTGGAGCTTTTGGAGAAAAAAAATAATTGAGAAAATTAAGCGGATGGGTTCTTCAAGAAATCCAATTACAGAATCTCGATTCATCTCACTAATTGTTTCTTTTCATAGATTTTCCCACATGGGTCTGCCTCAATGATGAAAACACAAGATGACTTTGTAATTCTATCAATTGGGGAGATCCCACGACTTTCACTCTGTAACTGATAATCACTTGTTTGTCAATGTGAGCGAGTTCTTGTTAACGAAGCTGAGACTTTGAGAAGAGGTGGTGCCATTGATTATGCCAGTGGATGCGAAGATGAAGACGATGTTGTGGTCGGAGAGTTGGCTGTTGTTTGGAGCAATGGAGAAGATGAAGGGTCGCATACGTGTTGGGGGGCTCGTGGGTGTAGTGCTCGACCAATGGTAAAGGCAGCAACTTTCCATGCCAAATCCACCGCTGCAACTTGTAGCGGCGATGGCAAAACAGAGATAGTAAAAGAGGAGGGGAGAGAGAAAGAGAGAGGAAAGAGAAATAGCGAGAAGAGAGAGAGAAAGAGATATAGGGAGATTAGAGGTGGTGAGAGAGAGAGAGAAGTACCAAATCAGTGCAGCGGCAATGGTCAAATAGAGGAAGTGAAAGAGGAGGATAGAGATAAAGAGAGAGAAATAGCGAGAAGGAGTGAGATAATGAGAGATAGGGAGACGAGAGGTGGCAAGAGAAAAATACCAAATCCGTCGTTGTAACTTGTAGCGGTGATGGCGGAATAGAGATAGTGAAAGAGGAGGGGAGAGAGAAATAGCGAGAAGAGAGAGATAGTGAGACGAGAGGTGGCGAGAGAGAGAAATATTATTAAATCAATTATACTTAATTTTGTTTCTTTGATAAATTTTTGAAGTTATTACATAATTTCATTATTTAATCTTTTTTTGTTTTTAAATAATGTTTAAAATATGATTTAGTATTAATTTTTTTATATTTAAAACATTTAAAAATTAGTTATTTATAATATTATTTTTTTAAAATTATTTACATTTATATTTTTATCAAATATTATTAAATCTATTATAATTATTTTTTGTGTTTTTGATAATTTTTTAGAGTTATAAAATGATTTTGTTATTAATTTTGTAAAATATAAAATTATTATTAATTCAAACATTATGAAATTTGTTATAATTATTTTTCTACTCTTGAGAAACTTTTTAAACTTATTACATAATTTCGTTATTTTAACTATTTAAAGTATTTAAATAATATTTTATTTTATTTTTAAATTTATTATTTGGATAATTTTTATGTATATTTTTAAAATATCATTTAGTTAATAAATTGAATAATCCATTAAATTATAATTTATATTGTTATTACATGGTTTCATTATGAATTTCATAAATATATAAAATTATTAATAATATAAATATTATTAAATCCAATATAATTATTTTCTATGTTTTTAATAAATACTGTAAAATTATTACATAATTTCATTATAATATTTAAATAATTGTTAAGTTTTGTTAATTGAAACTTTCTTTAGATAGATATAGATGAAAAGTGGGGGAGAGGATAAATAGGAATTAGAGATAGAGATAACTTGGGAGAAAGTAGGGGATAGTTAGTTTCTCGATAAAAAGGATATGAAAAAGGGAGATAAGCCATGATGAGGTGGCAACTCCATGGGCTTCTAAAGGCACTTTTGAACTTCCTTTGTAATTGCTTCATTGAGGTAATGGAGCAAGGAGATGACATATGACATGGCATGTTTTACTTTAGTATATACTAGTGGGGACCCATGCGATACATAGGCTTTGTTAAAATGAACTTGAGGTAAAAAAGAGTTAAGGGTGCAGCTTGAGTAGGCCTAACTCGAGCCCGACTCAACCAAAGATTTTGCATAGGTTGGGCTTAGGTTGAGGCCTTGGCTAGCCTTGTAGCCCGAGCCTAATTCAACCAATTTGAGCCCAACCAACATTTTTGTGATATACATATCTACATATTATCAATATATTCTACCTAAAAATTGAGCTACAAATCTTAACACGCCTAATCGCAAGCCCAACTCAAGATGCTAGGTTAAAGTTATTTTATAATTTTTTAGAATATTTAAATAATTCTTAAATATTTTAATCCAAACTTTCTTTAGATAGATATAGATAAAAAGTAGTGGAGAGGATAAATAGGAATTAGAGATAATTTAGGATAGAAACTCAATACTAAATTAGAGACAATTTTGGAGATAAATAGGAATTAGAGATAATTTGGGAGAAAGTGGGGGAGGTAGTTTAGGAGTAATTTTAGGAAAAGAGATTATTTAGGTTATTGGGAAAATGCATCTCGTTGGTTGTTTAAAAAATGACATGGAATTAAAAAAATTCAAAAAAAGGAGAAAATAGATAAATAGTTTCTCTCAAAGGAGAGCTATGCCGACATGGCAGGACCAGTTTTAATATATACTAGCGGGGACCCGTGCGATGCACGGGATTTATTAAGAGAAAGCTAAATAATAAAAAGGGTCATACACTAAAATAGCCATTATAGTTTCATGGATTTACTAAAAT